TCTTGCTGTCACAATCGCTCTCATAGCTTTTATCACCAAAAGTGTTTTCCTTTGCTAATCTCTCATTCATTTCATTCAACAGTTAACGTCAAATTCTCATTCTATCAAATACACTCTATAATTCATCATTTGACTCTAGAACATTGTTGAGCAATTCAATTCGGCTGTTGACTATTGTTGACTTCAGCTGTCAACACACGTCGACGTATCAAGTAAACAGTATATGCTACAGAATAAGAAATTGATTGGAACTGTGAAATGAAATGAGATGAAGTGAATGAGAAAAACTCATCAAGAGAACGATATTCACAGGTAATAGCTATGAGAGTGAATACAACACGTCTGAAAAGAATGAGAATCCATGTAAGTCAGTTTGAAGTGAGCGTGTCATAGACAATTGCTTTTCATGCAATCATAATCGATTGCAATAATCAGCAACACAACGGTCTAGGACAATGATTCTCATAGGAAGCGACATTACCCGTTTTGAGTAATTTGGGGCGTCGGGACGGGGTAGGGTATATGAAGTACATTGAGTATTGAAAACTTATCACAACTGTGTTTTCGCTACAAAAAAACATTCGCTTAGATATCGTGTATAACATTCGAAAGCAAGTTTGACGTTGATCATGAAGATATCTAAGTGATAAATCGAAATACCATAATGAGGTAGAAATACCTTAAGAATGATGATCTTTTCCTGCAATTGGGTTCCTTTTCACTGATTGAAACTTTAGTTTTCGGATGAGTCAATACGCTCGTTGCAGCCGTTAGCGTATTTGTGGTTGATGGCTCGTCTTGTTGTTGATTTTCCAGTTTCTTCGATACCTGGCTCAATTGAAGATCATCCCAAGTTGGTGTACGAAATTGAATATCCATTAAATTTATTCGCGAATCCTGAATGAATGCTCAATTTGTTAAGAAAATATTCCCAGCGATTCAAACAGACCATGAACTTGAAAACTTCTGCTTCAGATATGAACCACAAGAGACCTCATGTTTACACTTTATACAGTGGTTGACATTCTGCTCACGGCAGCAATAAGTAAGATTACGGTAGAGTTCTGCTCTCTCTGGTCAACTCTCAAATTCACGTGATCCAATAGGTCATTGACGACTCACCGTTTCGGATGGAAACAGCTTGAGATGGGGTACGGTAGGTGCTGAATTCGCACGAGAACGGAACATTCCTTCTTGTGAGTTACGATATGCTTCAATTTCNGCCAATCTGTTAAGCAGATATTTCATCGCCCAATAAACACCATCCTCAGACCAGTGCTTGATTAGGAGACACCGTATCACGGCAACGTCCATATAGGTCGCTTGATGAGGGTCTGTGATCGGCTGAAATACAGTTCGCCGTTGACTGAAGGCTGTCAATGGGTTGCGTTAAGGTTCCATGGTACGACTCAAATTCAGAAAATATTTGTTATTTGTTATTTCTATGAGTATAGAATCCTCAAATTGAAAGCTAAATTCGTCGATGCTCATTGAAAATGCACACCTGTTGGGCAACATCACAACTATTCGAAAGATCTTCGAGTGGATCAAATTCTTTTTTGCTAACACTCTCGGCGGCCAGCTCACTATCGATTGTTATTGTTGGTCTGCGGATCACAGTCGTTCCGCTACACATCGATGAACTTTCATCTGAAAATGGGCATCTGGATCACTAGAGAATCATTTTTTGTCACGGAATTACCAAACATCCAAACGGAACCAATGTTACAAAGAGTCATGAACTTTAGAAATCTTCAAGAAGGCTTCAAGCAATAGGTGAATAACTATGGACTACCATACGCATGATGAGCAGAAAGTTTTGGAATTTTCATATGATGTCGTTCAATAAGAACTGGATTTTTGTGCTAGCATTCAGAAATGAAATGGTGTGAAACCTCGTTGTATAGTAGGAACTTGACTCGGTTGACTGAGCGTTTGACTGGGCTCGGTTTGAGGTGAAGCAGGAAGGTCTTTCGGTGGGGATGGAATCGGAATAATACGGAATCTGCAGCTACTCGACGATGATTTCCTTTTACACTTACAAACGCCAACGAGCGTTCCTTCACGATACACGACCGTATTGCAATTTTCACAGATCACCTGAAAATTTCGATGAAACTCTTTGGTACGTCTGCTGTAATGATTCTGCTGTATCTCTTTTGACTGAGAGCAAATTCTTGAATCCACACATCACTTCTTTCCCATAATCAGTTTCTCAATGATTTACTGGCGGGCAATCGCAAAATCAGATCATATTCCATCCCATATTATCCGGGCTGAGCATGAAAACTGATATGATGATCAGATCAACGTTGAAATATGGTGGTACGCCCGCTGGATGTTTATTCTGATGGCGAGTCTCATGAGAATCTATCAATTCTCATGAGATGTTGGAAATTCTCATGAAAATCAAGAGTTATCATGCCACGCAGGCTTGAAATAATAATTCGGTGTGCTGTCGTTGTCTTCATATGCGAGCTTAGATGAGTAACTGAAACGAAAGATATTTTCTTCCGTGAGATCCTCAAAGCCTCAATTCAACAGCAATGATCAGAAAAGGTTTAGGCAGATCAAAGGTGAGGAGTCTGTCATTTCACCTCACATCCACTACCAGGTGATAGAGTGTCCAAGTCAGCGGATATCCCCGAGCAGATCTCTTGTAAGTGGACAAGTGGTGCTTTATCAGAGAGTTCAATCATCACTTCGCTTAGCGAATTATCTTCAACGAATCGCAGCGCTTCATCAATTTCATCCATACCTTTACCGACACCAGAATCTGCAATCAGTTCAATGACACTAAGATCTGATCAAAAATCCGTAAATTTAGGGAATCAGTCCTGAATACGCCCTATTTTCTGGATAGCACGAATGAAATCGAATGGAATTGAGTCGTATTTCAAAACTGAAGGATTCTATCCAGTAGATTTTGTACGATTATTGAAGCGCTTGAATTTGATTTAAGATTATGTAAATCCATGGATTGCAGTCATAATTCATTGTAGACGAAACGTGATTTAGTCAACCAGTGAATACAGCTCGATCAATATGTGGTTATAATCTTACTTGGTGATACATCAAAGTTGGTGGTTGTTTTGCTTTTCGAGAATCTCCTCCGCATGTTTTCGGCCATTTGATCAGTACGATACTCGCTAACACTTCGCACAATCGATGTTCTTAGAGTATCACTTGGTGAGAGTTTCTTAAAACATCACTTAACTTCGTATAAATTAATCTTTAACGAATTACTCACAATCAGTTTGCTTATATAAGTGGTTTCGAAAATGATTTCTCTAGGTTGTGCTGGAACAACTGACAATAAGTTTTTAGGAGCTGGTCGTCCGCAGATAATAATAACGCTTAATGATAACGATGCCTTCATCACATTTATTTCTGTCTATTTATTTCTATTTATTTCTATCTTTTCGTTTAGCGATGAATATCTTGATAATAATAGTTATCACTTCTTTCTATCCGTTATTCATTAGGTGAGGGTGTTAACTAACAAATATATTTCCTTCGTCAATACAAATACATTTTTGATGACCTCAAAGTGACATATATAAGTGTTCAGAATTAGTTGCTTTCGACAATCAATGGAACATGCAACTACTTGTTTGTAAAACTTGGAATTCAGGCATTTTCCAACGAATTCTCGTTCTTTTCAAGCTGTACTAGTCGCTCTCATTCCTTCTTCAATGAAAAGCGTTTTATTTCTAATTTTTTCTCATGCCTGCACACTCTTTTCTGGTACATTTGAAGTCAAACTCTCCTTTTACTGCACACGCTATTTAGTCGCTTAATCGACTATTTTTGTTTATGATCAGCACTACTAGATGAAACAGATGGAATGGACTGAACTGTTCGACTTAGTTTATCCGTACTCGATTTTGGTTTTCAGGATTCAGAATAACCTGATGCGTAGCTTAATGGTGATGATTACAGATAACAATAGTGATGATGATTCCAGTGATAATCTGATTGAATCTCAAGACCCAATGAATGCCCTTATAAGTGATGATAAG